ATTCTAAACTTTATTAAGAAAATTTGAAATAGCATCAAGATATATTGAATAAACTGAGAGAAAAATATATCATATGTTAAAAACCAGATTGCTGAATAATGTTTGAAGGATTTACAAGGAAAGTCAATAATATTAAATGGAAATTACAAAAATGTAATATAAAATAGGCAGGAGCATTAATATCATCAAGATTTCTAGTTTAAAAGGTAATAAGTATAAACTGATGTTAAATGGAGTACCCTCCACTCAAACTTAATTGCACACTTCAATTACATTATCATTAATGCAAAAATACCTTTAAAATACGTTAAAAATTTGGCTTGGGAATATGACTATTATTTTGGCTATAGCAAGAGGAATTACAATATAATTATTTATGTCGTATTTAATTAAGAAAGAAAAAAAAATTATGATAGCAATTATTCAATAAAGGAGGCAATATAGATAAATTATGAGAGAACAGTAATACTCGCATCTCATATTTACACTTTGTAATAGCTGATGCTAATTATACATTATAATGAAGCACATAATGGCTTTCAAGAATTATCTACTAAAAGTTTCTCAATAAGACTTCTTTATATTTATTATGTTTCTACACTTAATCAATATTCCTTATCAAAACTTACTTGAAATATGTATATAAAAATATTTTTCATAAAATAATTTGAATTTAATATTTAGGTAAGATATAAAATATCACAACAATAAATTTGAAAGACATAGTTAAGATTCGTTCAATCAAATTTAAGTAAAGCTTTATTTTTCAGTAGTAGAGAAAAAAGGAATTTTAATGAACAATGTATCTTTTAATTAAATAAATTTCTTTGCAAAGATGTTGAATTTTATCCCAAAAAATAAGTTCAAAACAATTAAAAAAATTATACAAAGTATTTTTTTAACTATTTTAGAATTTAAAATTGTAAATATAATTAAATATCGAGTGACATACCTTTCAGTATTTCAAATATAATCATAATTAAAGTTGTTATTTTATTTAAATATAACAATTCAAATTCTACTTCAAATCCAAATAATCAGGCAACTTAATTTTATTTACATCTATATATTTATTGTTAATTTTTCTTGTATATTATAATTTTATAGCTCTATTTAATTTTTTATTTTTTCAATTAAAAATAATTACTTAGGTGTTAAACAAATTAAAAAACATTATTCTTGGTATGTTAAATCTTCAAATGATTAAATGCTCTAAAGCCAATATCATGCATATTTAATCACTTCTAAAAATAAGAATAAAAATTTGCAGCAATTGAATAAATAAGTATTTTAGAGATTTCCTTACTTTTCATTTGAGTCTGTATTAAAATGTTTCTTTTTATAACATGAATAATTCCTAGTTAAAGAAAAAAAAAAATTTTTTTTTAATTAATTTTGATTTACTATTTGACATAGAAGGAATTATAATATTTTTTTAAGTAATTTCTGGATCGAATTTTCTTATTCTAAGATTTGTTTGCTCATCAAATCCATAAAATAGGGAATAGTATCAGATAATTTTAGAAAGGCAATTATTGAACAATCGTTACATTTCTATTAATAATTAATATATTAATCCATTACAAAATATTAATATTAATAGAAATTAAATTAATGTATTTAGTATGCTTTTATAAACTAAGAGATGTAATTTATTTGGGAAGAAGATACCTAAATGCTGAGAGCAATTTATTGGGATACCTCTTTGAAACCATCTGAATAAAAAACAACAACGCTACAAATAACTTTTACTAATAACTAAGAAATTTAATATTCTAGAGATGGATCTATCCTTAGAGTGTAAGTGCTATATTAACCTTTATAGCGATTTCATCGAAGATATTTCAAGGAAGCCTGAAATTCTAACGAATTTAGACTAAATATAAAATTTAAAATGGTGGGGATAATATGGAAAATTAAATCAAAAGGTAGGAAAATGGACAGCAACTTGAAACAGTGCAACTATGAGAAATGTAGGAGGATATTATTCAAATACAGTACAGGAAATAAGTAAGGGCAATGGAAAACATTAATTGAAAATTATTGGTCGTAAGATATTCTCTCTTTTTTTAAGTGAAGCGAAAGTTTATGAGGTAGGAGAATATCAAGATGGAATACGAAAAGATTGGAAATATATCTATAAAAATTAAAAAATGTACAATATATAATCACTATTTCGAAATAGGATTGGTGGTAGATACAATTAAGAAGATTAAAAACATGGAAAATGGGTTGAGTTATCGAAGAACTTTTAGGACGATATTTAAGTTAAGTATAATGGAGAATATAAGAATGGTAAAAAAATAGGTTTATGGGACATTGAGTATTGGTGTGAAAGAAGAAATCATTTCATAAAAATGTAAAAATACTTCATAAAGGTCTTATAGCGGTGGTGGAGCATATAATGAAGTTGGTGATGGACTTTAGTCAGGAAATTGGGTGGAAATATCAGATAATAAGAATTTTGAATATGATGAGTAAATAATTTACATTGGCAAATATAAAAATGGCAAAAAAGTTGGTAGATGGGATATTTGGTGTGATGTGTTTGATGAGAAAATCTTTAAAATAATGTAATAAAATTATATAAATATGTATTCAAGTGGTGGTGTATTATATGATGAAGCTGGTGAGGGGTTAAAGATTGGGGAGTGGATTGATTTTAATGAAGGGTTTGATGAATAAAAATAAGTAACTTATCATGGAGAATATAAAAATGATAAAAAAGTTGGTATGTGGGATATTTGGAACTTGTGTTTAAGTAAGTATGATTAATTAGAAAAATATATGTAAAAATATTATTTAATGTGCATTACAGTGGTGGTGGATTATATGATGAGGATGGCGAAGAGATTAAGCTAGGAAAATGGGTGCAAGTATCAGATATTTTCAGAAGTTGTTCAGCAACTTATAATCGTGAATATAAAAATGGTAAAAAAGTTGGACAAAATCTAAACAAGGGATTTCTCTACCAATGCTTGTAATTATACTTTTTTGAAGTCTCTATTACTATTCCCATTTACGAAGCGAAAGGCAAAGCTTATGGAGAAGGTTTAGAAAATACCTCGTCAGGTTTGGTCAATTCAAGTTTAGGCTTATGTCTTGAAGCGAATTAGCCGAGACTGACTGGCGATATATCACAGAGAAGCTCCTTTATAAATTCTCATTTGTATTTAAACATCTAGAAAATTGATTTGAATTGTTAGCTTAGTTTATATTTATCTTAAAACACAAAAACAAAGTACAAGTTTTCCAGGCAACTTATGTAATTATTTAAATGTAATAATAATTAATTTTTGTATTCTTTTGATGAGAATACTTTGGTCGATCAATTTTAATAAATAGAAGAAATTTTAGTTATTTGAAGGATTATTTAATTATGACCTACAAGTTTACTAAGAAGAGATATTAGAAAGTAATTTATTCACTTTTATTAGACATTTAATTTTTATTGCACTTCAAATTGAGATATTTATATTAATTAAGAACTCCTTTTTAATTCAATTGGTTAAAGAGAATTCGTAAACACATCGTTCGCCTTCTTCTCATATTCAATAAGTAGATCAGCAGACAGAAGTGTAAACTTTAGAGCTTAGGGCCTTTCCAATTAGAATTTTGGGAGAGATAAAAATCACATATCAGAAATTATCACAGGCTAGACTAATATTTTTTTAATGTAATTTTTAAATTAGAATTCAAAACTCATAAAAATCTATTGGATAAGTATCCCAAGCAATTCCCTAAAGTCAAATCAATTTTCAGTTAATTAACTTATAATTCAAAAATTGTATTCTTGGACTCCTTTTTGTAAATCTAACTATCAAAGTTGAAAATCTAGAACTAAATTTTAGTAGTTATGAAAGAAGCTTCAATTAGACTAGATATGTTAATTCTTTTCTTAATAATATCTATTTACACAATTATGAATAATTAAATTTTTATTATATAAACATATAAATTTAAGAATAATACTTTATGCTTTATTAGCTTAATATTAAATAAAATTATAGTTTTTATCTCTTAAGATAATTAATTTTAATCCTCTACTTATTCAATAATATTGAAATTGATTCTTCTATAAAAAAAATCTCTCTTAAAATGATCTTTTTAATTATGTGTCCCTACTTTAAGCTTATAAATATCTTTATGAGTATATGCCAGAATAAAAACTTTAAAATTAAAGTAAATGGAAACTACATTAAATTAAATGATAAATAAGCTATAAGATAATGAAAAAAATTTTATTGAAAATATACAATATTTCTATTTTTCTAAGGGCACCTATTTGATAAATCAAGCAACAGCCTAAAATCTATTTTTCTTTATATTCATGAATTAAATATAATTTATAAGAATATATCAAAAAAATATTACTATAAAGAAGAATATGTAAATATTAATAATTTAAAATCAAATTTAGATTGATCATGAGTTTCTAATAGCAATATTCAAATGAATTAAGCTTATTTTGAATTCTAAAAATTTATAGAATTATTTCAACTTAAATAGGATGGGTTTCTTATGGATCAAAAGATATATTAATTTACATTAATCTTCAAGCTAAAAAACGCTATAAAATTATATTAAGAATTCTTAGATAAATTTGAATTTTATAGGTAAGTTTTGGGCTTGAAGTAATTCGAAACTATAATGAAAAGAGATTGCAAAGCCATTTAGAAGCTCATAAAGTAATTCATTCAACGATATGTAGCTATTCAATAATAAAAGGAAATTTGTTTTTTGGATGAGAAAATCTAAGGTCATTAGAGCAAAGTAATTAAGTTTCAATTAAAATAAAAGCAATAATATCAAATAATTAGGAAAGCAAATCAATATGTGAGTATATTAGAGGCAATTACTTGGAATGAGTTTATAACTTATTAATTGTTGGTAGGATCGAAAATTCCAATGCATATTCAAGTCATTTATTCTATTTAAATAGAACCTTAAAGGAAAATTACTATGATTAAGAATATATTTTGATGTTGGACAATAGTCCAATCCATAAAGCATAAAATTTATTAGATTCTTAGAGTACTAATCCTAATTAAAAACTATTGAAAAGGTATGGTTGAGTTTCAAAATACTATTAAAAAAGAAGGATAATGGTGTGCACTGAGTTTGCACAAGCTAATCCATCATTATTTCAATGAAATGAATAATAAGACTGTTTCTAAATATGGGTTTGGGTTTGGGTTT